GTATAAATGCATCGCTTAAATGACTCTCAGGGAATAATTTACACATGAAGAAGCTCTGGTGGTTAAAAGAGCCTTGTGTGTTTCTTATTTCTGGAAATAGTTCTTTAAGTGGATATCAAAGCAACTGTTTATTTCAAAGTAGTCACAATTCTTACTCTTCTGGCATTCCCAACACATTGTAACATTTTGAACAAAAAAACTGCATAAGAAACAGGAAAACAGTTCCAATTTAGTGTCTATATTCATAATCTGGAAAAGCTTAGCTTACTTTCATTATAGGATTTATGTTTTCCTCCAAAAGAATTACAACAAAATGAGTATGGAAAATACTTCAGATCAAGAAAAAGGAAATTGAGGAATTAGCTGTGGTTGCAAGACAGATCCCCACCTCCTTTTTGAAGCATTCAAACGTGGAATTCAGGGAAACTTCACCTAGTTTCTAACCTTGTGCTAGGGGTTTTCTCATATTTGGGCTGGTCATATCAGATTTCTGAGTTGTTTGTTTATGTGGGACACATATTTCTAGCTCAAATTTAGGCATTATGAAATGAAAAAGAAAATAATTTTGGCGAAAATTTCCCCCTAGGTTATAAAGCCTGCAATAGCAGAAAGCCTGGAATTCCTTACATTGTTAGAGCCCAGTGCTCTGAGCCTAATGCTCTGTGCCTGATGCATGGAACAGTTTTTGTGGATGCAGTACAAGGAAAAAGCACAATGTTACTGGGGAAAATCCTTAACTATTTTGAGTGTATGTTTACTGTCTTTCCCATTACTTAGCTTTCCAAGTGCATCTTCCTCTCCCCTCAAATTCAAACACAAAGGATGGGCAATTAATTTTTATTGAATTTGTGCTTCAATAATTTGTCACAAGAAATAAACTTTATTTTAGGGTGCTGTTTAACACTTTAATGATACTTTAAAGGCCCTCTTTTTGCTTTGCCAGAAAATCCAAACTGGCTTCAACTTCCACATTTTTTCTGTCTTTTTTTATGGTACCGGGGATGAAACTCAGAACCTTGTGCTTGCCAGGCAGGCAGTGTGCTGCTGATCTATCTGTCAGGCCCCTCAACTTCCAAATTAAACAGAACAATTACAAATGAAAAGGCTGGAGCCATAAATAATTGTATTAAGGCAGCAGTGATGGTAGTTGTAGTGATAGTGAGCTAAGAACGGCCACAGAGATTGTGGTCTTTTATTATTCATCACTATTTTTACTGCTGCTCAAGCTAACCCCATGGTTCTTCATACTGTTGTATGCACTATAGTGTAGTATGAATTTTGGTAATGATATAGGGGAATTCCCTATATACGAAATTCCCGACCTACTATATGTCCTATACAAGTTCGTGTTCTTTAAAATTGAAAAATGAATTTTAGGAACAGTGGAGGTTAAGAGCAGAAATATTTATTGAGAGAAAGAAAGCTTCTGTCTGAGAGACAGACAGAAACGGTCCAGTGTGGGTTGCCAAAGATTCTGCATTTCCTTGTGATTTTTATAGTGTAAATCCATGAGGTGAGGTGGGTCTAAAGTGGGGAAAACTGGGAACTTGCAAGGTAGACAGGCATGAGGTGGGACAGAGCTATGGTCAACCAATAAGTTTAATTGTTCAGGTAAAACTGACCAAATCAGGGACACATGGGGAAGTGAGTCATGTAGCAAGCGAGCATTCTTATGGATCAGTGGCTCTTCCTCTAGGAAGTTGAGATAGTGACTCCAGGCTTCTCAATGTAATCCATACTTAATCCCTACCTAATCCCTAACATTTATATTTAGGGTGTGGTTACATTTGTTTTGTTTTCTATTTTGAGATCTGGCTCATAGCAAGAAGTGTGTCTCTCCTGTAGGGTCACAAGACTTTTGGTCCTCTGTGCCTGCTTCTTCAAAGGCCTAGCCCTGTCTCAATACCTATATTTCTAACTAGCTCAGCTGCCTGTAACAATAAGATAATTACTCTTTGGATAAGTAGATTGTTTGGTCCTTCATTTAATTTATTTGGTTTTTTTGAGACAGGGTCTTGGTATGCTTTCAAGATTGGCCTTGAACTCACCAGATAGCCCAAATTGATCTAGAACTCAAAGTAATCCTCTTGGCTCAGTTTCTTGAGTGCTGGGATTATGAGTGTGCATTTGGTATTTAGCACTGAAATTAATTTTAAATTTCTTTCCATAGTTGGTTGTGGTGGTGCATGCCTGTAATTCCACCACTCAGGAGGTTGAGGCAGGAGGATCTCTGCAAATTCAAGGTTGACCTTGAACTACATAGTGAGACTCTATCTCAAAAAAAATTGTTTGAAACATATTTTCCCTAGACTGTTTTTCACGTTTGTATCTCTCATAAAGTGTGAAAATCTCCAGATGTGCTGGATAAGTAATTACCTGTTACTGCTAATTTGATTGCTTTTAACAGTCAATCTATTAAAATAGGTTAAATAATAATCTGAAAGACTGGTATAAACTCTTTTGTTTAAAGTTGAACCTAGAGTATTCAAGATTTTTTTCTTTTCTCCCAGCGCCAGTCTTTTTGTTGTAAAGGGGTCACTTAAGGACTTCTGTGGAAGGGATCCTTGCGCCATCTACTGACGGAATTTAAATTGCTAGTGTCTGGAGATAGCGCTTGGGTTGAGAAAGGTGGTTATCGGGGAAAGACCCTCTCAAAACTCTTTGACTTATCTGTGTTTACTAAAATAAATCTGAATTCAAAAAATGTAATTAAAAAAGACATTAGTTTCTCACGTGAGTTCCTTTTAGAGAGGCTCCCAAAAGAGCAAGGTAGACACGGAGCAAACTAGCCCAACATTGAAATCAACTCAAATGGGAATTGGACTGTTTTCACTTGAGCCCTAACTCACATTTACTACTGCTGGTTACTGCTTAATGGAAAATGTCTTTACAGATGAAACATCCAGTTAACCTTCCATTTTAATCTTACTATTAAAGACTTCTTCCCAATTTGACCATTTATCAAAAGTTTAATGTGCAGTAAGTAGGTTCACCTGTTACATTGATAATCTACCTGTCTAGTTTGTCTCTCTGTATGTAAACCTAATCCTTATATGCACATTGATTCAGCTACACATACGCCTAACACGACAATGTGAACTTATGCACCTGTGATACTGACTTAGGTTTTGTAGAAGATGATATGCAGTCACCTATTGGGTTGGGAAATCTGGGCCCTTGCACTTGGATTAAAATGTCTCTTCCCTTTATGTTGTTCCACTTTATGCTAGATTTTGTAGAAGGAAGAAGAATTGGGATTTTTCAATATGATTTTTGACTGTAACTGGGTAAATTTTAGGGGATCAAACTGTTGCAGCTGGAGGCTTAAAGTTGCCTGGAAGTGGTCTGATCTGATTTTCATTATCTTTGTGTAACTGAACTGAACACTAAAAGGTAGCAAGGACCCCCAAAGCCTCAGATAACTTCCTTCTCCATTTTCAGTTCTCATCATTCCAAGGGCCACAACAGCCTTGTTTTGCCGGTCTTAAGAAGGGAAGAGGAACAGAAGAAAGCAAGAAAGCTGAGAAACAAAGAGGAAAAACAAAAGGTAGGTAGAGAGAAGGAAAAGTTTAGAAGTTGGGGGGTTGAGGGGAAGGGGAGGTTAAATAAAAGAGTAAGAGCTTTTTTTTAACGAACCCAAGTCAAATCCACTTTTCATTTTCATATCAATCATCTAGATCATATCCGTTTCCCTTTTAAAGGTTGTCTTCGTATTTAAGGGAAGCCAGTCAGTACTCTTCGCCAACCCCACGCGTGGCAGCGCTCTTGTGTCCACTGGCACCAAGACAAAATACATCCGGAGTGGGAACACTAGCAAGAGAGCGACTCTGGGAACATCCCTGCGACTGGTTGTCATCTGGGAGCCTAAATGGATTAATACTCAGCGATGGATTAACCAATATGCCTAAAGATTATAATCCAATTTATGCACATTACAATCAGTATTAACTTTATCTGCTATTTTGAGGCTCCCAGACGCCCCGTGCCTCCTCGGAGGACAGTCCTCACGTTCTGATGCAACCGGCAGGCTGTCTGGAGGGGAAGCTCCCGAAGAAAACAACAGCAAGCCTGGTCCCCAAGGGTGGGCCAGTCACTCCTAGGTGTCCAGCCTTCACCTGGGCACCGCTTTGTGAATCTTGCCAGGCCAGGATTACCAGCGCTGGAGGTGACCCTTGGGAGGGAAAGCCTTCTCTCGCCTCGTTCATTTCATTTTAAAATTTTCTGTAGCGGTGGCAGAAGGGCGGAGAGGGAGGGAGAGGGCGGGTGCTTTTGAGCGCTCTGAGAAGGGGGCCCAGGGATCTCGGCCGGTTGTAACAGCCTCAGCGATAGCCGTTTTGATGCTGGTTTTTTTTTTTTTTTTGGTTTTGTTTTGTTTTTGTCTTTTGGTGTTTTTTTTTTGGTAGGGCAGCATTTCTCTCGCTTTCTCTTTAAATAAGTTTGTTTGGGTGTGAGTTCTTGCCTTTTCAGCACAAAACCACAAAAATACGTGGTGGAAAGTAAAAGAAAACCCACTCCCCCTCCTTCCTCGAACGTGGTAACTGACGCCAAAGACTAGATTTAACGCCCTTCCCGGCTGCTGGGGGCTCTGGGCAGTGGCTACATTCCAGCAGTTTTAATCCGTTTTTTATTGTAAGGCGAACGGAGTTTACACAGGGGCTGGGCCGGCTCCGCAGCTGGCTGCTCCCCCCGCTCCAGCCCCCTCCCCTCTCCTCCCCTCCCCTCCCCTCCCCAACCCGGCAGGAACCTGTTACTTTAAGCGAGGCGTTCCAGTGTGGCGCTGCGGGCCGCCGGGGTTTCGGGAGCTGGCCGCTGATTGGCTCTTTCGAGCTCCCCCTGGCTCGCTCGCTCGGCCTCCCCGCGCGCTCCGCCCCGCCCGCGCGCCCTCCCTCCGCCCCGAGAGGCTTGGAGCCCGGTGTCAGGCGCCACGGCGCATGCTCGGGAATCATCCTCTGGCCCTGGAGCTGCTTGCTTCGGCGGCTGCTGCTTTTGCTTTTGGAGCTGAGTTTAATAAGCGAGCGAGCGAGAGGGCGAGCGCGCGGGGGCTGGGGGGGCGGAGAGGCAGAGAATGTCCGCCATCTACCCTCCGCTCCCGGGCGCGCTCTCATTCATAGCAGCCTCTTCATGAATTACAGCTGAGGGGGGCGGGGAGGGGGGTACCACACAACACCCCGGCAAACCTCCGGGCCCCCAGGCATGGCTAGCTCGGTAAGTACATGCAAAAATAATAATAAAAGACCTCCCCCTCCTTCCTTCCTCCTTCGCCCTGCGCCGCCGCCGCTGCAGTCCAGACAGCGCCAGCGCTGCGCGGCTCCAATTAGAGAAAGGTTGGTGCGGCTTGCAGGGAGCAGCCGCCTCTCCCTCGGTCCCCGCTCCCCTCCTCCCCACCCTCCCCGGCGCGCGCGCACACAGACACACACTCACACATACACGCGCGCACACACTCGCACACAGACACACTCGCCCCTCCACCCCCCGCGCCGCCCGCCCTCCCTTCTCGCCTCTTCGCAATCACGAGAAGCGCACTCACACTCCTTCTCGCTCACACGCGCGCGCTCACACACACTCACTCACACACGGTGGAAGGAGGCGAATAATAACTCAGCCATATTTCAGCCGCCGCCGCCGGGAGCTGCGGGCACAGTCCGGGGAGTCGGCGAGCAGCCTCCGCGCAACGCCGCGGCCGCTACGATGGTGCGTTCCCTCGGCGTGCGCGCGGGCCGGAGAGTGCGGGCTGACAGCGGCGGGCTGCACGCAACTTTGCCCCGGCGCCGGGCGGAGCGCGAGCCGAGCCTCCGCTGCTGTCCGCCCGCCGCCTCGCCGGCCTGCATTCTCATGTGTATTATTTTTTGGGGGGAGGCAGGAGGTACTTTGGGGCCACTTTGGTTATAGAAAGAGTGGTGCGGGGGCAGTGTTCAGCCAGCCTCGCCGATCGCGTGAGGCTTTTCGTGGGGGGGGGTGTGCGCGGGTGCTTTAAGTTACGGATGCTTCGGCGTGTTTTCCTGCGGGCGTGTGTGCTTGTGCGTGTGTGTCCGTGTGCGTGACGACGTCTCATTTTTGTTATGCACGAACCCCGTGGTAAAAGCACGGGAGTTTGTGCCCATCAGCAGAGGCGCCTGTAGTTTCCATTCCGCCTGGCACAGCGCTCCACACGCACGCACACACACACGTACACAAAGACTTCCTCGGCGTGTGCCTGTCGCCGCGGTACTTTCGGGGAGGGGACTCGCCCGGAATCCCCCGCTCCCAGTGGTCCCAGCCACCTCCCCTCCCACGCCTGGAAACCGCCTGGCATCGCTTCCTAATTGTCTCCTAATTTGTTACCGATGCATTTGTAGTGGAGCTTGTGGCTGAGTGTGTTCCCCCACCCCGACCCTCTTCCCGACTGGGGGTAACATTCCGTTACAATCCTAGTCGGCGTGGATGCGGGGCCCCGGGCCACATTGGCCCGGCACTATGTATTTGAGGGTGTGGGGTGTGCGCGCCCACACGCGTGAGACGTGGGTGCAGAGGGCACTGCCGTTTCCTTTTATGTGCGTTTCAAGGAGGAAAAAAAATGTCAGGCGCAGTGTTCAGTACCGAACGGTCGCCTTCCTGTTGTTCACGGCTGTCTCTCCTCCCCCTGCCCGCAGTGTGCCGTGCAGGTGAAGCTGGAGCTGGGGCACCGCGCCCAGGTGAGGAAAAAACCCACCGTGGAGGGCTTCACTCACGACTGGATGGTGTTCGTGCGCGGCCCGGAGCACAGTAACATACAGCACTTTGTGGAGAAAGTCGTCTTCCACTTGCACGAAAGCTTTCCTAGGCCAAAAAGAGGTAGGGTTGCAGTACAAAAGAGGCTTGATAAAAAATGTCTTTGCTAGGCGAGGAAACAATCGCTGGCCCCGGAGGTCCCGCTGCCCGGCTCCCCGCCCCCGCGCAGCTCTAGCCCGCCTGGCCTGGGGACCAGGGGGTGCGGTGCTGCCAGCCAGGGCCCTGCTGCCCCCTTCGCGCAAGAGCGACTTTGGGTTCCTGAAAGACACCGCAGAGAAAGGACTGTCAGGTGTCGGATGTTTATTCATCCCAAGCCAGTTCTCATCAGCTCTCTGGGGTTAGCCTCGGGTTCTGCGGAGAAGGTGTAATTAGTTGTTGGGTTTGGAGGTGTGGGGAGCAGAGGGAATAAACAGTTTACACCCCCCACCCCCGAGAAATAGAAATTTACCTGTGTTGTTAGCAAGGAATGCATTGGATGTGATTATTGTTCCATCTTGAGAGGAGAATTCTCTTTAGGGTCTTCTCTGCCTTCCCCTCTGAGTGTGAAGCACTGAATGCCAGTTGTCAAAGACTTCTTTTAGGGGATTAGGCATTGCCACACCCCACCCCAGTCTCGATTTTATTTATTTGGAGGGCTTACTCCTTCTGCCCTCTTTCCCCCATGATGCTTGACAACTGCTTAGATTTTGAGCTATGGTTGTGTCTGCTAGATGTGATCCGCAGGGAGAGGCTTCTTCAAAGGTTGCAAGCTAAGTTTCAGAGAAACCATGCGTGTTTGTGTCTTCTGACCTTCCCCACCATGGTTCTTACTCTTGGAGTCTAGTTTGCACAAACTTGCTGAGCATCTGCAGTCGAAACATTTTCCAAAACACAGTAGGACAGCTTTGGAAAAGAGAAAAGGGGTGTCGTTTTAAAAGAAATTTAAAGGAGGTTTGAGAAATCTTTGTTTGGTCTCTGGAAAGCTACTGTCTGGTGTTTTAGTTGGATTAGTGGAGGTAACAGTACAAATACAATAAGGTGCTTTGTTTGTGAGCAGGTTTATTTATCTAAGTTGACACAATGGTTAGTAGTTATCTTCCATTTGATCCGTAATCTTTATTGGCATCTAGAACTCCTGCAGTTTCTTAGAGTAACATCATAATAAATCCATTCTGCTTAGAGCTATGTGGAAATTATTGAACATTCAGGGGCTGAATAAAGAAAGGAGGTGGCAGAGTCTGTGTTGGTGCTTTCCAATGTTCGTATAATGGGAAGGAAGATTGTGTTTTTGTGCCTTTAGTGATTTGGTTTGTAGCACCTCTTGAAAACTTAAACAGTTGAATTTGATGGGCTTTGTCGGATGGTTAATAAATGCAGCCAGCTCCTAATAGAAGGTTAGGAGTAACCTGCCTGGCTTATAGGAAATAACATTTTGTATTTAGTATTTTGTATCAAAATATAGGTTGGGATAGTATACTTGTTTTTTCACCAAAGCTGTGTTAAGGATGGACACTGTCAAGTTTCTGTAGCTATAGCAAACTGTCACTATATGATGTTTCTTGGAATCTTTTTCCATGTGTCTGTAGAGCCATTGCAGAGGAATTTAAACAAAAGAAACCACCTTCTAAGATCCTGGGGATACACTGTTGCTGCTGGTTGACTGCTATTCCCTTCAAGGTGAAATATACTTAACAAAAAGCAATATTTATTATATTAGAAAATTAACTCAGTTGGCAGAAGATGTGGCTCTTGAGGTAACTTTGTTTAGGCACCTTAATAATTAGCAAATTGGCCTTATGAAATTAAAGATGATCAGCCTCTTCTGTGTTTTACCAGTGTTTCTCTGCTTCAGTGGGTGTGTGTGGTGAGATTTTCTTTTATTTCCTGTACTTAATGATTTTCTGTCCAGCCTGAGGGAACCTGAGGGTGCTACCCACATGGCCCAAACCTGGGAGTTGTTTTTAGGTGTGGTTAGCAGTTTACTAACAGGGATGGATGTCTTCTCAAACCTCTTTAGTGAGGGATGCCTGTTGGTTGGTCTCTACAATTTTTATTCTTACATGAGAAGGTTCTTTGTGCAGTTTATAAGCTATTGTTTTAAAGTGTTTATTTTTGGATTTTTATTTGTATGTGTGGTTCCCATAATATGACAAGTCCTGGGAAAAATGCCAGCTTACATCGCCCAGGAGAGACCTTGTCATACTGTAATTACACATGATTCAGATTGCAAGAGAAGGTTTCTCTGTTCATTGGAAATGGTTAGTTGTGACTTCAGGCAGTACCAAGCATGCCATTTAATCCTGGTACGTGTTATTATTTTGATTATGAATCTTTCAAAATGATAAATCAATGCAGAATAAGAATGCCAGACTTTTTTAAAAGCCACTTCTAGTAGTACCTCTTAAGGTGTAGTGTTTTGTGATGTTGTGGATTTATAAGTGATAGGATACAATTTCACTCATTTGAGATGGGAGAAACTACAAAAATGAATTTGAGGGAAAATTTGAATATATTGGAAAGAATCACTCATCCTTTACACTGTAAATGGCTATTAATAGTGATGAGTTAAATCACTCTATTTACAGTAACTTGTAAGTACAGATGAACTTTAGGACTGAGCATGAGCTGCTTAGCCATGAGATGGATGACTCTGGTTTTATAAATCTTTAATTTAGAAAGGCAAATTGATTTTCAGGTTGATTTCCTTTTCTTTGTAATAATAGTATGTGAACTTGTTGAGAAGAAATTATAGTATTTCAACTTGTTGCTGAATAGGAATTACATATATCATCTCAGAATTGAACTGATTGGATTTGAATTAATGAGTCTGTCAAAAAGATGTGTGGGGAGTCTTCAGTTTAAAACTACTGGTATAAAGTCCTAGAAAAAGATTTTGAAGAAATAATGAAGCCTACTAACCAATAGAGAAAAGGTAGGTCAGAGTTTGAGGTATTTTTAAGTTATCTACTTTCAAGAAAAGACTGTTATCTTGTTTATCAATATCGAAATTTTATACTAATCTGATAAGTCTAAAATGAATAATCACATTCAAAACATTTCATTTAAAATATTAATGTTTTCATTTTCAATATGACGTGAATTTCAGTGAACTTTCCAATTACAGCCAACCTACTAGTGCAGTCTGTTCCATTGACATTTATGGTGTAAAATCTGCTTATTATTTTATGTAAGCTAATTTGGTCACTAGTATGACTTAATAGGTTTTTATTTGTATCTCTTAGTCCTTTGAGTGGGCAGATAAAGCATAGTAAATCCATGCTTACAACTTTCCTTTAAGTGTTTGAGCCTTGCTTTATTGCACCATCCTGAGTTGTGTCTTCTAAAATAATTTGGATACTTTTTTATCTAGCCACCTAAAATTCAAGGGGTTAATATTTAAAGTTTTGTGTGTACCTGGTTTTTTCTGTGGTATTTAAAAGATGTAAGAAAAAAATAAAGAGATGGGCGAATGCTTGTGTAGGGTACTGATTGGAGTTAAGATGACAGGTGAGAAGAGTCTTACTTACCATTTTGAAGCTACCAGAATGTAATTTCTGAAGGCACTATATTAGGGCAGTTGGTTAGCATGTAAATTGAACATGGGCATTTTGGAGGACATTTGGGAAAATTTACTGGGATTTTTTAATGTCTATAGTCTTTACAGCAAGTTTACTTCTAGGAATTTTGTGGCAGATATGACTATAAATACAAATTTCAGCATATTTCTTGAGACTTCTTTTGTAATAGCAAAAATTTGGAAGTAAGTCTTATATAAGATCTTAGATGGGTTAGTTAAATGATCTATATAAAATCTATTTTTAGTTGCAGGAAATTCTTAAGGCAGTAGCATGTAAAATAAGACGAGTTGCTAAATTCGTGTGACTCTGTTTGAGACATGGCCTTATTCAGATGAAAAAAAATACAAGTATGTATGCCTGTGTATAAGTAAAACATTCTATGTAAATAAGCACCAGACTCTTACCAGTAGTTGTCTCCATTGGGTGCTTGTGGTGTTGGTGGTATGAGATTTCATTTAAAATATTTTATTTGTTATGGTATGGGGGTTAGACTCAGAGTCATTGTATGGAGCTGTATCTCCAAGCCTTTTTTATTTTTTATTTTGAGATGGGACCTTGTTAAGTTGCCTGGACTGGGCTCAAAATTGCCATCCTCCTGCCTGTCTCACAGAGTGCTGGAATTGCAGGCATCTCCAATACACCCAGCTGGGATTTATTTTTGTAGTGTTTGATTTGAAAAAAAGGTAATTCTGTATATTTAAAACATTACAGTGAACCCATAATACTTTCTGAGACTGAAAGACAAAGAATCCAGATCAGTACAGAATATTGCCTTTTAAGTAGATACTAGCATGTAACTGTATGAGTGGTCTTTAACTGAAAAAGTGATCTTGGGTAGGTACTGTTGCTTAACCTAAAGAGGAGAGAGGTTCAAGAATTAAACTGGTATCCAAAGGCTGGTTTACAAGACTCTTTGGGTAATCTCGGGCAAGTTATTTCTGTGTCTGTTTTCTTTTCAGTTGTGTTGTGAGAATAGTGATAGAACTACAACTTATATATATAAAACATTTATTTCCAAACCTACGGGTTTTTATGGCCTTTTTATACTCTAGGACTCCAAAGAACTTTTCTATGTAAGTATTAAACCTGTTAATTTTACTGTGTTAAAAATAAGACATTTTAGACAGTATTTTATTTAAAAATAAAACACATTTTTATTAACATATAAATATCATTTTAATGAGAAAAAGTTTTTTTTTTTTTTTTTTTTTTTTTTTACTTTTTTTGAGACGGGGTCTCACTATGCAGTTCAGACTGACCTTGAGCTCACTTTGTAGCCCAGGCTGGTCTTGAACTCACAACGATCCTCCCACCTCAGCCTCCCGAGTGCTGGGATTACAGGCATGAGCCACCACGCCCAGCTGAGAAATAGTTTTTTAAAACAACAGAAAATTAGTGTCTTTAGTGTCTGGCTTAATAGAAGACAACTGAATCCTCATATCTGCTTTTGTACTCTCTTGTATTACCGCATCCTAAAGCCTCTAGAAAACTAGTAATGAGAGAATG